TTCAACAAGTACAATCTATTAGCAACAACTACAGGACATTCAATTTTTGTAGTCTCAACAGGCTTACTTGTATCAACATGGAATACCCAGTTGCCATGATACAAAAAGAGACCCTCAACAGTTCCCTCTCAAATCTTTTTCTTCTATGATTTCTTTCTTTACTCTCTGCATAAAGGTGGGTTGATGACACATAATCCCATCAAAAAACTCAGATTCCTAGCGGACTAAATATCCCAGAGTATTGGTAAATGTCTTTTACTTCATTTCTAGTTTAAATTCCAGATGGGTAGGTAATGATTAATGGCCATTCATAACCTTCAAATGAGTGTGCAATGGGCTGCAAGAAAGGAAAGCTCTCAATCGAGACTGTACCAGACATCTGTCCAAATCAAAATTGCAACTCTTGTTGGTAGACTCAATAAAAAGACAGAAGACTAGATGAACATAAAGTCTGAACTGCCCTCTCCCTGGAAACTGTCCCACCAGGATACAGACGAGGCCCATTGGGAAGCTGCTGCAGAAAATTAAACTGTTGTTGCCCACACTGTACTTTCTAGAAAGGAGGCTTCTCCTGCCAATACTGTTGACCTGCTTGAGATTTTGAAACCAGATATGCAAATAAGCATTATTCAGATTTGGATCATTTGCTTACAGCATAGATACAACATACTTTATTAAAACAGTTTTTAAAAATCACAGAAGACATGACTTCTGAAAATATACTCCTAATGTGATCAGTTTTTTAAAAAATGGGAGGCTTTGATTCTTGAATGAACAGAGGTAGAGGATCAGAAATTTCATCTGTTTGAGAAAAAAAGCCTCAGAGCATGAGTTCATTTCCAATATTAGGAATCATCATGAAAGGAGATACTCCCTTTCACAGGTATTCCATGGGGAAAACTTAGGTTTCATCATTAATTATAGGCTTTAAGACCAATTTTGCCATCTGACACGTCCCTTTCTGATAGGCTCTGTTATTCTTTGTATTGGTTTCAGTAGAATGACTTGCAAAATAGAGTACTTTAGTAAGGAAGTTAGAAACTTGGCCAAATTCATCCAACTGTCATAGGGCCAGATTCTGACATTCTCACTTACATGAACAAATTCTATTTAAATCAATATTAATTAAGAGAAAGGTACCACTCAACATTGCTTTAATTATAATAATTAATTATAATTATACAAGTAATAATGATATGAGGCTTTCCATTAGAACAGGTTGGACAAACACCAGTCAGGGATTGTCTCTAGGTATTTATTTGATCCTTTCTCAGCACAGAGGAACAGACTAGATGACCTCTCCTATCTTTTTATGACTCTGTGTTTCAGGACAGACTCTCACCCATCCTGAAAAATATATATATAAGAACATACATATGCAGAATAAGATTGTAAAATCCTGATTAATCAGTTAACTGGTTTAATGTTACATTTAACTGGTTAACCGATTAAACAGTGGTAGGCAGGGGAACACTCTAGCCCACCTCCCGCAACTGCTACAGACAGGGCAGCAGTCGGAAAGTGGAGTGGCCCATCTCCCCTGGATAGGGGCTGCTCCAGCTGGACTGGGCTGGGCCCATCGCAGGCAGGGGCTGGTCAAACTGGGCTGGAGCATCCCCTGCCCACAATGGGCCCCACAAGGTTGGAGCAGCCCCGTATACCTCAGTAAGAGTGATGCTTAATGGTTAACCATTCACATCCCTAATGCAGAACTGCGGAAACACAGAGGCTTTTCTGCATACTATTTTTATAAGTTTCCACTAAACAGCACATGTAACAAGGCAATTATACATGCAGCCATGCACACCTATGGAAGAAGAGATTCTCTTGGCGATACCATGCTTGACAAATCATTACCTACAAGGTCAGTAAAATAAATGAAAAGGAATTTAACTTTGTACCTATCATTGAAGATGAAAGAATTAGGCATTTTATTTTAGGTCGTAAGTTTTCTGGAGTAGAGGTGGGGAACCTGCAGTCCACGGCAACATGTGGGTCATTAGAGTTCTGTGTGTGGCCCACGAGACATTTTGTTTACCGTTGCCAACGTGCAGGGTTGCCAGATTCCACTGGTTTTTATCCTCAGTTTTTTTCCTACCAGTATTCAGAGGTGAAAGTAAGCTGGTACACCCTGGTGTGGCCCTCCAGCAAGAAACTGGCCAGTTAGCTGGAGGCACTTAGCTGCAGGGGAGAGGCAGGCTGCCGCACTAGAAGGAGACAGCCTGGTAGGTTATAAGGGCTGGCTGGGAGGGCGGGGAGTCTAGAACGCCATCATTTCAGGGGTAAGGGGGTGCTGCAGTGGCACTTAGCCCAGTCAGTGAGTGGGTGGTGGTTTTTGTTTTGCTGACTAGAGAGAGAGGTAAATTTCAGAGCCTGCTCTTGCTCTGGGTACCCAGTGAAGGGCAGAGGAGAAAACTACACAGGTTGTGAACTTGGCCTCGCTCCCTAGTCTGCAAAAAGAAAAAAACACACAAAGGCCGTGTCCAGACTCAGGGGTTCTTTCGAAAAAAGTAGCCTTTTTTCGAAAGAACATCCCCTGCGTCCAGACTCAAGCCGCATTCTTTCGAAATTATTTCGAAAGAACGCGGCTTTTCTTTCGATGGCGGTAAACCTCGTTTCACGAGGAAGAACGCCTTCCTTCGAAAGTTCCTCTTTCGAAGGAAGGCGTTCTTCAATGTAAAGAGGCCGTCTTCGAAAGAGAGCATCCAGACTCGCTGGGTGCTCTCTTTCGAAAAAGCGGATTTTTCTTTCGAAAGATCCGCCTGCAGTCTAGACGCGATCTTTCGAAAGATGCCCTGGCCTCATTGAAGTTAATGGGAATGTTCCCTTTGACATCAGTGGAACCAAGATTTCTAAATTTGGAAGTAAATGCAATTACATTGGTATGACTGAGGGCAAAATTTAGCTCAGAGAGACTTGTAGTGTGTCTAGATTATATCTCTCTGTTGGAAGAAGGATGTAAATGAAGCACTTCAAAAGTGCAAATGAAGCGGGGATTTAACTATCCCATGCTTCATTTGCATAATCACGTAATGGCGCTCTTTCAAAAAAGCACTATTTCAAAATTGAAACCACAGTCTAGACGCTGTACTTTTGAAAAAGGGGCTCTTTTTCGAAAGATCCTATAAACCTCAAAAACCTCAAAAAATGAGGTTTACAGGACCTTTCAAAAAAGCACCGTGTTTTCGAAAGAACCGCGTCTAGACTGTGGTTTCACTTTCAAAGTGCTTCATTTACATCCCTCTGCCGACAGAGGGATGTAGTCTAGACTCACCCTGAGTGTAAGGAATATTAAAGGACTTTATATTGGTTTACTCAAGCCGCGTTCTTTCGAAATTATTTCGAAAGAACACGGCTTTTCTTTCGATGGCGGTAAACCTCGTTTCACGAGGAAGAACACCTTCCTTCGAAAGTTCCTCTTTCGAAGGAAGGCGTTCTTCAATGTAAAGAGGCCGTCTTCGAAAGAGAGCATCCAGACTCGCTGGGTGCTCTCTTTCGAAAAAGCGGATTTCCTCTATCGAAAGATCCGCCTGCTGTCTAGACGCGATCTTTCGAAAGAGCCTCTTTCGAAAGAAGCCTGCAGTCTAGACATAGCCTAAGTGAGCAGGGTAAGTGAGGCAGCAGGCCCCCACCCCTGAAATCTTGCCCTTGCCCCTGCCAGCACTCACTCAGCCCCCTGCCCTGAGCCTCCTCTTCCTGCACCC